CCGATCCACAACCCTTGGATCTGTCGAATGGACGGTGGCGACGGCGCGTGTGTGTGGTGGTTTGAGCTAAGGTTCACTTTGTCCATAACTCCTATTTTCTACAAACTTGGGGTGCCCCTTGGGGCCCAATCCAAGTGCTGTAGTCTAGAGCTTATATACATACACAAGCTCTCTTAAAGTTTTAATGTGGGACAACCTATTTCAAAGAAACTCACACTTACTTCTTTAACTATTCATTCCACGAATCCGAAAATGACGTCAATTTCTCATTCACTCATAAATGGTTTTGACGAACCGTCTTTACCGTGTGACTTGCCATGCGGCAAGGAACACGTCACCTCTTCGAACCCGCTTCAAAAGACGTTTAGGGCCCACTCAATTTTGAGTTCAAAATTGGCCCAAAATAAGCCTAATGAAACCAATTTTCCAACAAAAGGACCAAGCTAAACATTCTTGTTAGGGAATATTTATGAAAAACAAAAGCACATAGAGACTTTTTCCAAAACATTCTATAATAAGGGTTGGTTTGGCATGTTTGAAAAAAGTCAAAAAGTCACTATCCTATTTAAGTCACATCATCTTATTTAAGTCACATCACTTCTCTAACACATCACTTCAAACTCAGTCCATATTTCATAAAAATTCAAAAAATTCACTTATTTAGATCATCACAAACAACCCCTAAATATCCAAACAAAAGACGGCATAAAACTTGTGAATTCACTAAATCACACCCTAGAATCTACATAAAACTTTGTTGGTCCTCAAATGATGCATTTTGTGTTATTTTGATTTTTTATATTTTAATTGTGTAAATTTGATCATCAATTTATCTAATATGTGTTTAATTTCAATGTCATTTCAGTCCAAATTTTATAACGGTGGAAGAGGTATAATTTGGTATATATACCAAACTATAGCTATGCATGCATTTGTCTTCCATAAACATTAACCTCCAATATTTGATGGGCATAGCAAACTTATGTTAGACTTTGAATTTGTAACTGAAAATATAACAATTTGAAGTACACAAATACATTTGTAACTGCACCAATTATGGGTACTTCCTGATCTTCTTTTCTTTTCTGGGACAGATGACTTTGTGGTGCCTCATTTATTCTCGCATCTATATAGTTTTTTTATTTTTTATTTTTTAAGTTGTGTTTGGATTTAGAATTTAAAGTGAAATTTGTGAAGGGAAAAGAAGATGCAAGAAAAAGTTAAATAACATATAAGATAATTCCTTCTTTTTTTTTTCCTTCCGAGATCACTACTCAAATTCTTGATCCAAAATAAAATGAAAAAGAAAGTGTGTACTATCTTGCATATGACAAGAGCTAGCAGTTAGTAGCCACCTTTGCTCATAGTAAAGCGAAGCAAGCTGACTGGCTTCTCCTTCAGAAGCTTAGAAAGTGTTTGATGGTGGCCTAGAGACAGCCTGACCAGTGATACTTATTGTTAATCATCACTCTAAGAATATGTCATAGTCTTCAACTTTACTCAGAACTTGTCATTATCATACAAATTCCTTTTATTTTTGTCCTTTATTTATTTTATTTTTATTTTTAATGAACACTAGGTAAGCCTAAAGTCCCATAATTTACAAATTACAACCAAATATTTAACCCAAGGTGTGACATTTTGGTAAGATTTTAAGGTATAAGTTTTGAGATCTTGGATTTTACTCTTTTCAAGCTCAGTTATTCGGACAACACATATGGTTGGTAGGACAAACTTTTCAGGTTTGGACGAATTGTATCCAATGTCAATAGTGTGCCGTATGTGCGTAAATCTATGACTTACCGTTATATGGTTAAATGACCCTACTATGTAGCAACTATTGAAAGATGACCTATGAAGTTTTGACTTCTTATAAGATCTAACCCCAGAAATTATTCATGTGATTAGACTTTTACAACCAAATATTTTATTCCCAGAACAGTAAAAATAATAATGCACACAACAAATAATGTCAATGTTTGACTGAAATTTTTTTTATTAGAGTTTGTTTAGAAAGTGAGTTGAATTTGTGGCTATTTTAACCTGGGGCTAAAAAGTTTCGTTTAGGATAAGTTTTTTGGCTTTTTTGACTTTTTGTGAGAGAAAGAATGTAATGAGTATGAATTGGATGTGACATTTTATCTTATTAGGTTAAAAAACATATTTTGTCTTTTTTGGCTAAAATAACTCCAAATTCAATCCAACCCAACCCAACCCAACCCAACCCAACCCAAATTGCCAAACAAAGGCTTAGTGTGATCTGAGCATTTTCTAAGCAATTTTTTTTTTACTCCATAAATGTAACATTGTTCATATTCATCAAACAAAGAAAAAGATTGCGACAAACACGTTCATTCTTGCAAGAAAAATGTTTCAGAACTCGAAATTTATGAGGCTTGATTGGCCCAAATTCAAAACGACGTCGTTTTGATTTTTTTTTTTTCCTCTCCTTTATCTGTGAAACAGAGGGAGGAAGAGAGAAAGAGAGAAGAGAAAGGAAGAGAGAAGAAGAGAGAGGAAGAGAGAAGAAAGGAAGAGAGAAGTGCCATCACCGGCCTTTCTCTGTGTGTATACAGAGATCTTTGTTCTGTGTATCTCTCTCTCTCTCTCTCATTTGTGGGTTTGATTTGTGGGTTTAATTTTTGGTTTGATTTTTGGGGTTGATTTGTATTGGTTTGATTTGTATTGGTTTTGATTTTTGATGTTTGATTTTTTTTTTTTTTCCTCTCCTCTCTCTTTTTTTGATTCTGTGGAAGAAGAAAAGAAAAAAAAAGGGGGTTGATTTGTATTGATTTTGATTTTTGATGTTTGTTTGTTTTTTTTTTTAAATTCTTCCTCTCCTCTCTCTTTTTTTGATTCTGTGAAAAAAGAAAAGAAAAAAAAAGTGCCAAAAATTGTTTTGGCACCTCAAGCCATTCAAGCCTTTGAAGATTCGGGCTACCTAACGGGACTAGTCTTGTAAGCACAAAGGTGCGTGGAGTGCGTGGAGCATTACTTCATTCTTCTTTATCATAACATACCACCTCCACAGAGAAAAAAATTAAAAAAAACAAAATAAAGAAGAAGAAGACACCTAACTTCTAGCTAGCTCCAGTGTTCATTAATTTACTCTTTTTTTGAATTGTTAGTCAATTACTCATAAATAGAAAAAAAAAAATACAAAAATCAAAATCAAAAACCCTATTAAGTTATTTGAGAAAAACGCATGATGTCCCTCACATATAAGCAAACTTTCTTTCATAAGTGAGTCAAATCTGTGCAAATATTTCAATTATCATGTATATGGTGAGATTTGAACAGTATCTATTATTTATATTGATACCACATAAATTGTTAATTAGCAACAATCTCCCAAGCCCAAAAAAATAAAATAAAAATAATTTAAAAGTTTAAAGGGACATTTACATACAAGTCCTATTTTGTGAACTTATAATCCATTAAGTCTAGATAAAATTATTTGCTCCTCCAAGTCCCATTAATTTTTAATAAACCAATTTACCTTCCAAGACCTCCTCCATCTACCAAACAATTGATGTCTTCATTCTCTCTCTCTTACTTCTACACCCACTCCCCACAACAACAACAATCAAATGGACTCTCTCTCTCTCTCTCTCTCTCTCTCTCTCATAGACAAAGAACAGAGCGTCGAGCTCACTTGCGGCAAGCTCACAATCATTCGTCTCTTGCAATGCGGAAACGTCGTCGCAACGGAAAGCAGTAGTGAGACCAAGGAGGCAGTGAGAAGAGAGAGGCAAAGGGCGCTGAGAGCCATTGTTGAAGTTGCCAAGTGATGAAGTTGTCTGGTGATGATTTTTGGGTTGTAGTTTGAGGTTTGGGTTTGTTAATTTCGGTTGATCTGAGTTGGAGATATATGTGGCCTCAAAATTTGATAAAGGCCTATTTGATAAAAATAAAAAATAAAAAAAAGTCAGTTTATTTGTTTGTTGATTTATTTGAATCATTAGTGTGTTTAGTTTTATAATTTAAAAATTGAGAATATTATCAGTTTAAAATTTAAAAAAATGATAATATTCTCAGTTTTAATATTGAAAATTTTGAAATTTTTCTCAATTTTACTAGATATTTTTGAGAAATTTCTCAATTTTTTTCTGAAAATATTGTCAATTTTAAGAAAATTTTCAATTTTTTCATGATTAAAAATGAGAATATTATAAACTGAGAATGTTCAAATTGAAAACAAGAGAAGATGAGAGAGAAAACTAGAGAGAGCAAGCCAATGATTTTGATCAATTCAAGAGGCAATGTTGTCAGAGAGAGAAAGAGCGAGAGATAGTTAGGAAGAGAGAAACTGAAGCATCACGTGAAGGAGATTTTGTGGGCTGTAACAAGGTGATTCAAGAAAACAAAACTAAAAAGTACAGAGAGAGGAAGCAAACAAGGATTTGATGTTCCATTAGTGGAAAAAGTAATGCGTTCTTGAACATGAAATCAACCTCGATGATTGTTTTGTCAGAATGAACAGGAAATGGAAGGTGAACTTCAATGACGAAGCCACCGGCGCGAGTAACATAGGCATAACCAAGAAATCCTTTGAGATCCTTCGAAATTGTATCTTCATCCACTTCCCATAATTGATTTGATTTTGTTTTTAGTAAATAATATCAATGTTGTTATATATATAATTGTTTGGGTTGAAGGGTAAAAATGTCTTCTTATTTATAAATAGGACTTATTGGTTCAAAAACTTTTAAATAAGACCTAAGTTACTACCAAATATGTAAATAAGACTTTTAAGTAATTAATCCAATTTTAAATAGTTAGTGACTATTTACATAATTGGATTTCTTATCTTATTTTAGAAAATTATTAAGATAGTTAGTAAGTATTATATGGCATTACTTAAAAAGTATCCGGAACAAATGAAAAATTGCAGGCACGTAAGTTTTTATGACTCGTAGGTGGGTCATGTCTCATTTTTCAACTACCTAACAAATATAAGTCATCACATGTCACTTATAAAATTTTACGCTACATAATACATAAACAAGGAAAGTGATGCTTTAGGAGTAGCAAATTATCATTCTCTAATTTTTTTCTCATTAGACACAAACATTTGAAGTTATATATAAGCCAACTCAAACATCACAGAGAAAACCCCCAGTCCACAAACATGTCTGCTTATCTTTTCACTACAATCCTCATGATCTTGACTTTCTTTTCCCCCATTTCTACAACAGCCAAATATAGACATAGCACCCCTTGCAGTGAGGACTTCAATGCATCCCTCCCAAAAAGCTTCACAAACTGCAACAAGCTAAACACTTTGGGAGCCCAATTCGGCTGGAGAATCCACAGCAACGAGTCGGTGATCGACATTTGCGTCGGAGCCATGATAGAGACTGATGAGGGGTGGCTAGCTTGGGGGGTGAACCCACAAGCCGAGTCACAGATGGCTGGGACTCGAGCCATCATTGGGTTCAAAAAACCAGATAGGAAGCCTTCTTGGAACACGTACAATGTCACCTCGGAAACCAAGCTGGGTTGTCGACTCATGCCTTCAAAGATCGTAGACATTGATTTTGGAAATGTGAAATTTGAGTATTTGAATCAAATCAATTACTACAGAATATGTGCGACGGTGGGGCTTTCGTCGGAATACAATGTGTCGAGGTTGAACCATGTGTGGCAAGTTGGGTTTAAGAGCATTGGAATGGAAGTTATGGAACCTCTGAAGCATAAGAACCCTCTGCCAAACATGGACAGCACGGAGACGATCAACTTGAGGGTTGGGACTAGCAAAATCAACGCTGGACCTCACCGACATCGCATGAGAATGGTAAATTTGCATGGCCCCATATTGTTTTACACGATAGCAAATATTAAATGTAGTGATATTATAATAATAGGCATAGGCATTGTTATTCATCCAATAAAAAATTTATAAAAAATTAGAAATAGGTTGTTCGTTTTGGGAAAAACATTTCTTAATGTAAAAAAATTTCTACAATTTTTTTTTTTATAAAATATTTCGTGTGTTTTGAATTTTTTTTTTTTCCAAAACTAATGTATTAGTAATTGTATTAGTGGTAGTGGTTAGCAGCGGCGTGGCAGAAGTGGTGGTGAGTTGGTGGTAGTGGTAGTAGCGGGATGGTGGTGGTGGCAGGGCCAACTTTGGCCCGAAGCCAGCAAAGTCACCGCTTTGGGCCCTCAAAAATTAAACGAAAAAAAAAATGCCCCGAAATTTTTTTAGCTGTTGTACTAGTCCAGAAAAAAAAAAAAATCCACTTGAATTTAAAAAATCCTAAAAATTTTGGTGAAAATTGAAAACTAATAGTTGATTGTTGTGGTAAATTATTGAAAAGAAATTGATGATTGTTTTTATTAGCAAAAACCAAAAGTCAATTGATATGGTGAATTATTTTAAATTAATAGATGGTTATTTCTTAAATGCATGAATTGCATATAAAATACAATTAATTATACCAATTACATTTATTTAAAAAAAAAACTTTTCAAATTTAAAATTGATTAACTTCTATCTTCCGTTAATTATGTCACAATAAAGATTGAACATATTAGTAATTTAATCAACTGAAAATGATTTAGTTAATAAGTTGAATTATGCAAGTTTAATTAGAAATTTTATAGTTAAAAATACGAGAAAGGTGATGTTTAAATGTACAATTTATTCACTTTTTATTTAGTACTTCAACTTGAATTATTTTAGTTTTTCTTTTTATTTATTATATATTTTAATAAATTTTAATACTTATATATACAATCAAAATTTAAATACATAATTTTTTTTTTTTTTTTTAATATAAGGGTTTCACTTCAAATCCTAAAAATGACAGAGTCGGCCCAGGGTGGTGGTGTTAGCAATGATGATAGGTAAAGATCGTCATTCGGCTCAGTGGCCCGCTGGTCAACCCATGACCGCCAGCCTGCTCCGCAAGCCTATTTGGGCCAAGCTTATAAAGCAGGGCTTGGGTAGGCGGGCTTGGCTTCCATTTACTCGGCTTAGCCCAGACTGATTTTTAAATGTATTAGTTCAATTGCTTTATCAATGTTGCTTATGTCCAACATTGTCGTGCCGTGCGGTCTTTGTTTGGAAAATTTAAAAAGAAATTTAAAATTAAAGAGGAAAAAAAAAGAAAAAAAAAAAGGTGAAATTAGATAAAATATAAATATATTTTATTCATATTTTATTTACATTTTCTCTTCTCCTTTCACAATCCCTTTTCAATCCCCTAACCAAATACATTATTAGAGAACAAGACACTTCATTCATTAAAAAATAAATAATAAATAAATAAATTCAGGTTGATGTCAGAATTATAATTTTGATTTAATTACATTTGTGTTCAATAAAAGTAAATAGTTTCTTTTTAAAATTACACTTGTTATTCATTCTTTTTAGGACAAATGTGATGAAATTGCATAACATCCCTCTTTTTTTATTACTATATATTTTTTATGTTGGAAATTTTATATATAAATAATTTTATTTGGTATAAATTTTTTTTTTTTAAAAAACATGAGCTTATGTGTGTCGTACAAACAAACAGGCACATGGAGTATTGAACATGATAGGGTGGGGAACGTTGTTACCGTTGGGGGTGATAATAGCAAGGTACTTTAATAAATACCCATTACCATACAAACATTGGATTCGGCTTCATATCACTTGCCAGATCACCGGTTATACTGTTGGCACTATCGGCTGGGGTATTGGTTTATGGCTTGGCTATGCTTCCAAACACTTCAACTTTCCCATTCACGGCCTCATAGCTCATTTCATTTTTGCATTTACAACCTTACAGGTACTTAATATTATCCCTCTCTCTCTCTCTCTCTCTCTTTCTCTCACAGTGCATTGGCATTTTCATTCCTTCTCCTTTTTCTTTTTTCTTTTTTTTAATATTTTAACAATGCTAAAAAAACATTTTAAAAAATATTTAAAATTTGAATTATTGATAAGATTTATTCTAAATATGTCCCACACTATACCATTTTACATCTAGTTTTAATTTTTGGACCCTTTTTTTTTTGAACATTTTTATTTTATTTTTATTTTTATTTTGCACCCTCTTACAGAATTTATATGCACTCAAAAACAGCGCACAAAAGAGTGCTCGAAAAACAAAATATGCGAACTAAATTCATTTCGGGTTTGATCACAGACAACGAGTTCCTGTTGTGCCTCTACATGAAGATTATTCATAAAAATAATTAAATTGATTAGATATTGATAATTACATAATTAGATCACGTTTATTTAAATAAATTACACTTTACCCCTTTAACTATTGTTCCATTTCACTTTACCCCCTCCCCCTTCCCCTCTCCCCCTCTCCCTCCTTCATCTCCCAATTTAGATCTTGACAAAAATTTACTTACAGCTATAAGATAAATTATGATTGGATTATCACTCAATATCACTTGAAGACAATGATCATTCAATATCACTTTAAGAAGAATTATGATTGGATTATGTGACTACCGATATGTGATCAATTTAATTTCTTATATAGATACTCTTTCTAATGAATCCTATAAAATGAATGTTTTGTATCTTAAAAATAAATTCAATATGAGCTCCACCTCACTGCACAACAACCCTTGCTATGCCTAAGGGCACAACAAAAATCCTGATCTATGTGATACACTACACTAAATATACACTATCCATACTTTTTTTTCTAGATTTGTAGCTTTTTTTACCATCAATATACAGTGACTAGGTGCGATCATGCCTCCACTAAATTTAAAACTATACTGCATACTTCATTTTTTGATCATTTTTTTTAGATGTTAGCATTGCGATTGAAGCCCCATTCGAACGACGACTACCGAATATACTGGAGCATATACCACCATTTTCTGGGCTACTCTTTGCTGGCTCTCATCGTAGTAAACATATTTAGAGGGATTGGGATCTTCTCGCCAAACCAGACCTGGAGATGGGCTTATATTGGAGTGCTTTGTGGTCTAGGCTTCATCACTCTAGTTTTCGAGATCTTCACCTGGATTAAATTTTTGAAAGACCGAAAGGAAAAGAATCCAGGGGAGAACGACGAAGGGCAGCAAAAGAAGAACACTCAAATGTGATTCAATCAGCATAACACTCAAGTGTGATTCAATCAGCGGCTAATTATGAACTTGTTCAATCGTGTTCACATTATCTTCCTCCAATAAAAGATTGTGAATTAGAGTTTAGTGTGATGTACACTGCATTAAGTTTGAATCGATATCAAATATTTTATTTTTAAGATACTTTTTTTGAATGGGTAAAATTCGATGATGATGTAATGTTGGTTGTTGGAGCAATGGATGAAGTAAATAAAATTGTAGTTTCACTTCTATTTGATGAGATAATGGCGTCCTAATTGAGGAACTTCTTTTTTTTCTCCCGTTTTTATTTTATATAATTAATTTTGGAAGGACTCCATCAAACATTAATTTATTTATTTATTTATTTTTTGTTATTCAAGCTAGAACCCAGTTCCCATATCATCTTCCTTTTAAGTAACCAAAACAAATAAATAAATAACAATAAAATTGGAATAAAAGAGAAAAACGTCTACATCAAACTAATAATACAAGTAGGTCCACTACTTTAACCACCAAAGAATGTGTGATCCATCGAATTTTGCTCCGTAATATCTTACAATATAATAGTACTGTTAATCACCTCACATTGTTTACCTTATAACTTGCACCGATTATTTTTCTTTCTCATAAACGATCAATAATTCAAATCAATCAAATTATTGTCCATATTCTCTCCAAACTCTAATACAAGGTGTTAAAAACTCAATGTATACACTAACTATATTTATTTTTCGTGGTCACATTGAACTTTTTGTTTATGTACTGTTTAGTTCAGATTCTTGTATAGCATAGATTCCACTGTACTAGAGTTGACCACAAATTTTTTTTTTTTTCTTTTAAGTGTGTGATTTGATTTCTTGAACATTAAGATTATGGAAATCACTTGAGGACAAATTTGAATTATTGAATTTGATTTTCTTACTGTGATGTACACTGCATTAAGTTTGAGTCGATATCAAATATTTATTTTTGAGACACTTTTTTGAATGAGTAAAATTGGATGATGATGTAATGTTGGTGGTTGGAGCAACGGATGAAGTAATTATAATTATAGTTTCACTTCTATTTGATGAGATGATGGTGTCCTAATTGAGGAACTTCTTTTTTTTCTCCCGTTTTTATTTTATATAATTAATTTTGGAATGACTCCATCAAACTTTAATTAATTTTTTTTTTAATTTTTTTTATTCAAGCTAGGACCCAATTCCCATATCATCTTCCTTTTAAGTAACCAAAACAAATAAATAAATAATAACAAAATTGGAATAAAAGAGAAAAACATCGACCCAAATCAACGTCTACATCAAAGTAATAATATAAGTAGGCTCACTATTTTAACCACCAAATAATGTTTGATTCATCATATTTTGCTCCGTCCAAATTATCCAAATGAATACCTTACAATTCTGACCGTGTAAACATGAATATCTTACATGTAAGATATTCATTCGGACAATTCGGGCAAAATTCAATGAACGTAACAGTACTATTAACCAACTCACATTCTTCACCTGGTAACTTGCACCAGTTATTTTTCTTTCTTATAAATGATCAATAATTAAAATCAATCAAATTATTTTCCACATTCTCTACAAACTCTAATACAAGGTGTTAAAAACTCAATGTATATACTAAGGCCATGTTTGTTTGGGCGGACTGGATTAGCATTCCCATGACTAATAGTCCTAGGACTACGAATCCGTTGGATTATATATCATATCTTAACTAATAGTCAAGTTTAAAATAATTAGTCCGTACTTCAATTATTTAGCCAAACATCGGATTAATAATTTTATTAGACTATTAGTCCAATCCCAAGCTCATGTCCACCCAAACAAACATGGCCTAATTATATTTATTTTTTGTGGTGACATTGGGCTTTTTGTTTACAAATGTTACAGACCAAGAACTATACATAGAAAAATATCAAAAAAAGTACTGTTTAGTTCAGATTCTTGGATAGCATAGATTCCACTGTACAAGAGTTGACTACAAAAAAAAAATTTCTTTTCCTGTGTGTGATTTCTTGAACATTAAGATTACGGAAATCACTTGAGGACAAATTTGAATTATTGAATTTGATTTTCTTATGGGAACACGGTAGACACTAGGAGACTCCTCTGGGAGTTCCCCTAGTTTTTGTGGTTGTGGCTCGGAACTAGAATTATTATTGATTATCAAAAGCAAACTAGCTCAATTCCTTCATTAATTCCCAGTCACATGCATTCTATCCTTCTGCTGCCACAGCTATCTCTCTCTGTCTCTCATCTTACATGAACACTCAGCTATAAGAAATCAAGCTTCCAATTTCAGTAATGAGGTCAAGGATATCATGTTTAGTTTATGTCAAAGCCCATCTCCTCTTATGCATCACACTGCTGCATATAACAATTGTCTCCAGTGTCACACCCCCAGCTACCACCACTACAAGTTCCCTAAAAAATAATCCGACAATCAAATGTGCCCTTAATGAAAACAATACTGATCAGCTAGCCTTGTTAGCGTTCAAGTCAAAGATTATTGAAGATCCTCAAGGAGTACTCAAATCATGGAACGATTCTCACCAGTTTTGCAAGTGGGACGGTGTAACATGCAGTCAGCGGAGTAGGAGAGTCACTGTAATAGATCTAAGCTTCAGGGGCTTAGTGGGTACTTTGTCTCCTTACATTGGTAATCTGAGCTTCCTTCATGAGATATGGCTTGGAAACAATACTCTTCAAGGTGAAATCCCCCCCGAAATCGGGCGTTTGTCTAGGCTGCAAATACTTGGCCTCAACAATAATTCGCTTGAAGGAGAAATTCCAGCCAACCTATCGCACTGCTCCAAACTCGCATACCTTCGATTAGATGTTAATAAGCTGGTAGGGAAGATTCCCAAAGAGCTTGGTTCCTTGTCGAAGCTCACAAAGCTTCTCATCCACAATAACACCTTAACAGGTGGGATACCGCCTTTCATTGGGAACCTTACATCTCTGGAAAGTTTAAATGCAGCTGGAAATGTGTTGGGGGGAAGTATCCCCGAAGCCTTGGGACACTTGAAAAACTTGAAAGAGCTTTTATTAGGTAGCAATGAACTCAATGGTACGATCCCTCCATCCATTTATAATCTTTCCTATCTCAGTGTATTCTCCTTACTTGAAAACCAACTTCACGGTAACCTCCCACAGGGAATTTTTTTTACGCTTCCTCGGCTTCAAGTCCTTCAATTACAAGTGAATCAATTCACTGGACCCCTTCCACTCTCCTCATCAAATGCTTCACTGCTAGAAAAAATTGATTTGATGAACAACAATTTCAATGGTAAAATATCAATTGATTTTGGAGGTCTACAACATATTTGGCGGGTAAATCTAGGATTTAACAACTTTGGAAGCGGGGAACCCGATGATCTGAACTTTGTTGCATCTCTAGTCAACTGTAGCAATTTGGAAGTACTGAGTCTAGGGGGTAATCAATTTCGAGCAGCCTTCACAAATTATGTAGGCAATCTGTCAACCCATCTTCTTCAACTAGGGTTTAGCTTCAATCATATATATGGAGTTATACCTTCATCAATAACCAATCTCGTCAACTTATATGGCCTATATCTGACGGGTAATCAAATCACAGGCACCATCCCCAGTGATATTGGTCGTATATCAAAGCTTCAAAGATTACACCTCAACTCCAACAGATTATCCAAAAAAATTCCAAATTCTATAGGAAACCTATCATTGTTGAGTGTACTTCGCTTAGACAACAACAGATTACATGGAACCATACCATCAGGTATAAAAAACTGCCAAAACTTGCTATTGTTAAATCTTTCTCATAATAACCTTGGTGGCAACATACCCAAACAACTTTTTGATGTTCCTATTCTATCAATTTCACTAAACCTAGCAAAGAACTCTTTCCATGGGTCCTTACCTGCAGAGGTTGGCAATCTGAAAAACTTGGGGGAGTTGGATGTATCTGAGAATAAGTTGTTCGGAAAAATTCCAAGTAGCCTTGGCAGTTGCATTAGTCTTGAAAAACTGTACCTGGAAGGTAACATCTTTCAAGGGCCTATTCCTTTGTCACTGAAATCCCTCAGAGGCATTCAAAACTTTGATCTCTCTCGCAACAATTTTTCTGGCCAGATTCCACAGTATTTGGAGGATTTTTCCTTAAAGAAACTAAATTTATCCTTCAATGATTTTGAGGGTATGGTCCCAATGAAAGGAGTTTTTGCAAATGCAAGTGCAATATCAGTTGTTGGGAACAACAGGCTCTGTGGGGGCATATATGAACTCCAGCTACCTAGATGCGCATTCAAAGAACCAAAAAAACAAAAAATTTCTCTTGTAGTTTGTGTAATAATAATCTTGGCAGCTACTGCAGTTCTCGGAGTAATTTTTGTCTCATTTTTCATGTTCTGTTGGTTCAAGAAGAAAGGAAGATATCAAGCTTCAAGATCATTTTCGAGGAGATCATTGTTGACAGTGTCTTATGAGGAGCTCTTCAAAGCAACTGATGGTTTCTCATCAGAAAATCTGATTGGTGTGGGTAGTTTTGGCTCTATATATAAAGGAACCCTTGGTGTAGATGGATCTGTTGTCGCAGTTAAAGTTCTTGACCTTTGCCGTCAAGGAGCCTCCAAGAGTTTTGTGGCCGAGTGTGAAGCATTGAGAAATATTCGACATCGGAACCTTGTTAAGGTCATAACTTCTTGCTCAAGTGTTGATTTTCAAGGTAATGATTTCAAAGCACTAGTTTATGAGTATATGCCTAATGGGAGTTTAGAAAGATGGCTGCATTCAAGACCACATATTGGTTATGGGCAAACTGACTTTCAGAGCCTAACCCTTCTTCAACGAATAAACATTGCCCTCGATGTGGCTTGTGCGCTCAATTATCTTCATTGTCATTGCCAAAGGCCAATAATTCATTGCGACTTAAAGCCAAGCAACATACTTCTTGATTGTGAAATGACTGCTCATATTGGTGATTTTGGTTTAGCAAGGTTTCTTCCTGAACTGATGAATCCAAATCATAGCAGCTCAATTGGAATAATTGGAACTATTGGTTATGTACCTCCAGGTATGCATAGCATTTGTTACCCTTCTTCCTTCTTTTGCTTCAACATTTGTTATGATGCCCAACATAGGTTTGTGAAGTGATTTTTTCCCCCTAAAGTTTCTCTCCAAACAATGGTATTTAATAATATCTTAGTAGGCAACCTTATTCCTACTTTTTTAGTAGAGAAACTAATTCTCGTCACTTAAACATCCATCACGACCCTAGGGCGGATGAGTGCTTGTCAACACACCATGTAACGATAACAATGGAATCTAAAAAAATATGCTTTCCAAAATAAAAATGGTGTATTTCATTCTCTTACAATGCCCCACATGTATCAACGTAGATTAGCTCCTTTTCTTCACTATAGTTAGGGTTGGTATATTTCTATACTAAATGCGTAACTTATTTCATGGCAGAGTATGGTCTAGGAAATGAAGTATCAACAGAGGGCGACATCTATGGTTATGGGATTCTGTTGTTAGAGATGATGACAGGGAAGAGACCAACTGACAGTATGTTTGGGGAAGGCCTTAGCCTTCATAAATTTGCAAGGATGGCCTTGCCTGACCGTGTGATGGAAGTTTTAGACCCAAAACTACTAAATAATGATGAAGAAGAGGCAGCAGCGGTGGCCAATAATACTCGGAAGGAGGTTTGTCTGGTTTCACTTATCCAGATTGGAGTGGCATGCTCTATGGAGACACCAAGATATCGAATGGACATAAGTGATGTCGTTCATGAGCTGAATTTGGTCAGGGACATCCTTCAAGCAACTCAAGCATGTCCATAGGTAAGAGTCAAAACTCAAGACACCTACTTGTTATTTTGGATTAAATTAACTTCTTGATTGTTTATCTCTGATAATAACAGGTGGCTAAAATAACATTGGATGAGATTAGATGATTTGCGAATAAACTGAAGAAGAAAAAAAACAAGGAAAAATAAACGTTTTATTTTCTAAGTGGAAAGAACAGCCTCTACTAATGTACTACATATTTATTATTTGAGTCATCTACATCTTGTTAGAGTTTTTCCTCTTGTGGTCTAATATGCCAATTGTTTTTAGTTTGAAAAAAATAAGATTGATTGTTTCTCGGTCTAATAAGGCATACTGGTGATCCCATCTGACAATAACATGCCAATTGTTTTTAGTTTGAGAAAAATAAGATTGATTGTTTCTTGTTCTAATAAGGCATACCGGTGATCCCATCTAACGAAATCCTGGAATTCAAGCGATCATATTACTTCATCTCATCCTTAACCAATTTCCGAGATAATATGCATAGAAACAGGTAATTTATTTTAAGGTACTTACATGGTTCTCCACTTGTATTCACTTGGGCCAAAACGTTCAAAGGCTTTCTTAGACTACGCAATCAAGTGAATTTGCAATCTGCAAATTAGTGAAAAAAAATATAGCACACCAACAGTCTGTGAGTGTGCACGAGAGAGAGCATCAAATTTTTGCTTTCTATTAAAAATTAACAATTAAAGGAATGAGTTTTTGACCTTCCTGTTATCTATGTTAAATATAGTAACTATATATTCTATCATACATACTATATTATATTAATTATCATCTTTAGAATTACTATACTTTGGTTTCTTTTCTCCTATATAGTCTTATATACATTACTACATAATTATTTAACATAATATTCATCAATATTCAATCCAAAAAAAAATTAGACTGCGAGAAAAAAAATATAATAGAGATATTTTGGGTAGGAATAAATCAGCAGACAGAAGAAAAGATCACCACGAAATGATATTGAATAGAAAATATGACAGCGGAGTGGGTTGAGGTCTGGTGGGTAGCCAAGGCAAGGCTGCCGCCCGCCAGTGAAATTAAATTGCTAGATACTTAACCTAATTCTGATAACATATTAGAATATCTAAGAGAGAGAAAGAGAGATATATATTATATTGAATATTGTGTTGAATAATTATGTAACGATGTATAAAAAAAATCTAAATATGGAAATGAATATAATATGATAATGTATGATAGACATAATATACCGTTACTATATTTAACAATCTACACTCTTAACCATTGCAAGCTTTGGGACTGCAAGTGAGAAGTAAAGCCTTGAGGTCCATAACGAACAGAAACTGAAAAAATACGGGAATAACACGGCATCCTAACAATGCATAAATTCAGGAATGAAGAAAAAAAGCGTCACAATTCACTGGGATTATTTGAAATGGAACTTACATTTTGGGCAAGAAAAGTGACATGTGGAGAGTGCTAGTGGGGGGTGCATTGTCATTTTCCGTTATTGCTCGGAAAAATCAAGAATTTAACAACTAATTTGCGAATTACTCAGGGGAGTGAATCAGAAATCATAAAATCAGGATTCTTAGTTTGATGAAGAATCAAGAAAAGTTCCCACACATAAACTAGCTTAGGAAAAAAGTCTACAGTTGGTTAAAAAGAAAATTTGCATACATCCCCATACCAGATCAGAGGCTTGTAAAATCTGAAAAATATTCACTTTCATATTGAATTATGTACATTTAATGAGGAAGTGCATAAATTGCATCCATCTCTCAAAATTTCAAAGAACTATGGTTATTCATTTGTTGTAAGATATTAATCATTATAATTCAATCTGTACTCGGATAAAATGATACACAAAGGTTACTAATTTTTCTTCGGGTACTCTCTCGGTCCAAATATGGTTGATCCAATTCTGACATTGGTACTGCCCATTTCAATCTGCAGGCATCAGAAAGTACAAATTGTCAGCACGAAACATATTCGTCCTTGTTTCCATAAGATGGATAATAAATCACGATGAAAAAAGTTTCAGAAACCTCAGCACAAGAAAATTTAGTACTCCAAACTAAAATAGTCAATCACCCAAGATGATAGAGTTTCTTTATTTTGTACCAGAGGTCATTTTCAGGCATATAGATTGACTAGTAAACGTTTAAATATATCATTATCTGACAATAACTTAAGCAACAACAACAACATATCACCAAGATAATCATTTCCAAAAAGCATTTATAGATCGTTTTTCCGGACTTTTGTTTTCTATCCAAACAACACCACCTTTGTGTGAAAAGAGGACAAAATGAAGAAACATGTAGACAGTTTCCAATATGAACTCAAATCAAAAGGACAACATATTAGGAATTTTCAGGCTTAAACAAAAGAAGAAGGAAAAAAAAGACATGGGTGGCATTATGATATGACTGGGGGGTTCTTATAATATTCATTCAATCAATGTAGTCCATTCTTCATAAAATGATTCGCAGAGAAGAGAGATATTTTTACCTATTTTTCAGTAGAATTTGTAGAATACGATTGTGAAGTGTATGAGGGGATGTTTTTAATTCAAATTTAGAGAGAGGGGGCTTCAAGTTCATAGGGAAAGCTGTATGAGGCAGCTTATGGACAGTTCAGGAGCCAAGTTTTCTATCAGAACAACAAAACCTGTGTGAATATGTTAAGAGGAAGAAGTGAAGAAACATGTTAGACAGTTTCCAATAAATTGTACAGTGGTCCAGTCACAGTTTCAGGCAGTGCTCGTGGTATACTGAGTATGGTAAATTAAGGTTTCATGGCCACGGAGAAAGGTAGAATACATTTTTAGCATGATATTCAAATCATCAAGAAGATGGAATTTCATAGCCATTATTTTAAAAAAAATTCAAACTAAATTTAGTAATACTCCTTACCGCTTCCTCAAAGTCACCAGACATGCCCATTGAGAGTTCACATTGGTTCTCTGCCATTCCAATGACCTTGCAGACCTCAATTCTACAGTTTGACAACAACTGTTGCATCACAACACATATAGTATGATCCACAGAAGGTTATGTAACCCATTGAACAGACACAGGGAGAGAGAAAGAGAGAGAGACAGAGAGTATTATAATTTCAGGGTAGTCAATGGATACACATTCTGTTGTGTGCTGTAAGAAACAAAATTAGACCTTTTTCTACTGCTGAGGAAAAAATGAAATATGTGGTGTCTGAAAACTTCAAGAACAAGTGTAAAGTTATTACCCTGAAGTTCTCCGGAGTTGATGAATAGTCAGGCATTCCTATTGTCATTAAGCCAGAGAATTCAAGGTTTGGGCAACCACGCTTAACATGCTTTACAAGCTCCACGCAACCTGATGGATCAACACCAGATTTTGCTGCAATTATAGCACATTGATTAATTAGTTGGTCAATTACATGCCTCTGTGAGGTGAAATAAAAAATACACGTATGAACATATTTTGTGCATATCAATTCAAAACAAATATACAACACTTATGTTGGTGCACCAGGGGCCAAAGTCTAATTCAGCTATTAAAAAACAAGATTTGTGACATATGAAAAGTATGTAACACTAAATACAGCTATATTAATTTGGAAATGTTGCGCATGTATTGTACTAATTTAGCCATGATTCCTGTAGAATGTAAGAAACCACATAAATGTTAGATAAGAGGAGATCAGGATATCAAAATACTTCATCTCATCCTTAGCCAATTTCCATGATAATTTGCATAAGAAACAGGTAAATTATTTTATAGTACTTACATTCTTCTCCACTTGTATTCACTTGGACCAAAACCTTCAAAGGATTTCTTCCTATGGTTGAGACTACACGATCAAGCTGATTTGCAACCTGCATATCAGAGAGGGAATGATGGAGAGAGAACAATAATTTTTTGCGTTCTATTAAAAACAAGAAGCAAAGGAATGAGTTTTACCTTCACATTATCTACACCCTCAACCATTGCAAGATTTGGGACTGCAACTGCAAATGAGAAGTAAAACCTTGAGGCCCAAAATGTGTGTCATAACAAGAAGGTAGTAGGGAGAGCTGATATTACCTTACCCACGCACACCTGTGCAGACTAGTGTGCTGACAGATTCGAAATATGGGCATAACATGGTATATCAGAACAATGCATAAATTCAGGAATGAAGCAAAAGAGCATCATAGTTAGAGGTGGCTCAACCAATAGGCTATTTAGACTTTCGCCTAAGGCTCAATATGGAAAAAATTCTTGTTGTCGAATGCCTCAACTCTTCGAACGTCCAGAAGATAAAGGTCTCATTTAAACGTTTTGCCTCAATTCTTAATAAATAAAAATAAAAAACTGCGGCTGCTGGTGAGTTCATTGGGATTATTTGAAAAGGAAGCTATATTTATTATTTAGGGCAAAAAAGTGAACTTTGAAGAGTACAAGTGGGGGTGCATTGTCATTGTCCATTATTGTTCGGAATAATTCAAGATTTTAACAACTAACTTGCGCATTATTCAGGGGAGCAATAATTCAGAAATCATAAAATCAAGATTCCTTACTTTGATGAAGAATCAAGAAAAGTTCCACACATTTGATTTGAGGGAATAATAATTCAATAATCTTGCAACAATGATAATTTATAATAGAAACTCCAAACATAAAGAAAAGAATGTTAACTGAACAATCAAAAGAGATCCATACCCAAAAGTGATTTCACTTTATTGCTCTGCAAATGCCCAACAAAATGCCACTCAATGTCCTCAGGAAGCTGCAAAATGTTCAACAATTTCAATATCAAGCATCTTCTTACTCCACACAATCTCCATTCCAAAACAAACTTCTAGACAGAGAGAGAGAGAGAGAGAGAGGACCCGAGGTGCTTTTTCTATGATCTCTTGGACATAGTTCTCGCCGAAACAGCGATGACCAGAGTCGTAGACTTGGCGGATGAGAGAGATGGGCTTGGTTTTGCTCACTGCAACCACCCTCACATCATCGGCTATGCGGCCTGATCTCTCAGCAGCCTGGCGGACTCGGTGGAGCACCGCTCGCAGAGCCGTCGAGGCCGCACCCTCCACGGCGGTAGCAGCCATCATCACCATTCTTTTGATTTCTCTATCTTTTCTGGTGGTTCGGAGTCGCTCTCCGATAAATCTATCAACAACGATGATACATCCACTAATTTTGAGAGTATTAATGCACCACAAATGACGTGAAAATTTAAAAAAAAAACAAAAAAAAAAAACAAACCAAAAAAAAAAACCCCCTTGTTTTTTTTGAAAAAATTAAAATTAAAACAAACAAATTTAAAACTAAAATATCATATTAATCAATGAGACTCACTTTTTAAAACTCTTTTAATACTTTTAATTTAGGACTCTCAAACATTTTTCATCAATCAATTGGATCACTATTTTTTCAGGTTCAGGGTTATTTGCAAACCTGAGGTCGGTAGTTAGAGCTCGTTTGGAAAGAAAAAATCCCAGGTTTTTTTTTTTTTTTGAAAAAAAGAAAGACTAAAAAAGTCAAAAAACAAAAAATAAAAAATTTAATAAGATAAAATATTATATATAATTCATAATTATTATAATTTTTCTTTTATAAAATTTAAAAAAATCAAAAAATTTATTCCAAACGAGACTTTTTAGCCCCAGGTTAAAATAGTAAAAAAACCAAAAAGTCAACTTACATACCAAACAAATTCTTAGTCCGCGTTCCCTTTTTTTTTTTTTTTTTTTTTTTTGACGTTCTGGTAAAAGGGGATTTACCAACATGAGAGTTAGATTAACATGCTTGTTCGATTTTCTGATTTAAAATCATGCAAGTTAGGTTAGAAGAGAGACAAAAACAAAGCCCAAACTCTCTAACTCACAAAGAATTTAAACATACTAATGGTTAAATGTTTAAATTTTTATTTAAACAATTAACATTGAAATTATTTTGATGTACAGATTATGTTTAAACAATTAACAAATGTTGATGTAATTAACAATTAACAAATGTAGATGTAATCAAATGTTGACGTATTAAAACATAATTTAATAGATGTTAAATAAATATACATGTTGATGTACAGATGTTGAAATAATTTAATAAACATGTTGATGTACAAATGTTTAAATGTTTAAATAAAACATAATTTAAATAAATGAAATTATTTATTGTTGAAATTAAACATTTAATTGTTTAAATAAAACATCTATTAAAACATCTATTAAATTTAAATAATGAAATTAAATAAAATATAAACAAAATTTTAAAATAAAACATCAATAAAATATCTATAAAAAATTATTTAAAAAATAAATAAATAAAACATCAATAAAAAGTTAAATAAAATTATTTTATTTTAAATTGAGACATTTAAATTTTATTGAATTTTATTAAATATAATATATAATTAAATAGTAGAGGGTCAAAATGGTCATTTCACTATCTAATTCCAACAGTAAATAATCCCCCACAAATTGTTCCACACCCCCCCTCCCCTAGGATAGTATAATCCCCCATATGGGGGATAAAGAGTCTGGCCGGACTCCATGTTCGGCGGACTAAAAAAAAAATAAACATCGGATTGGATGATTGCCCCGGATTACAATCCGCACAATAAATAATCCCCCCTTATCCCCCTAATCAAACACACCCTAAATGATTGTTTTAAAAAGGGAAATACTAAAGTGTACACCAATAGTGATTGGTAACTCTAAAAGTAGAGCTCTACTGAGCTGGCAAAAAAAAAGAAAAGAAAGGGCAATGCTTTCCTTCAGTCCTTGATTAGACTGGAGAGTACTGTTGGATCCGTGAGGGGCCACCACAAGTTCCGTTTTAATAATTCGAATCGTTCAATGTGTAGAACTTATTAAGTACTATATGCCTATAAAAATTACGTTGATCGGATATCGATAGCTATGTAATCAAATTAGATTTTTGTAAGCCGTTTAGTTTTCACCGTCCATTTTTTCCATATAAACCTGATTTGATCACATAGTTATTAATATCCAATCAACGTGATTTATAGGCATATGATACTCGATGAGTTCTACACATTAAATAGTTCGAATTATCGAAACGGGACCCGTAGTGGACCTCCACGGGCCTAATAGTACCCTCTAATCCGTGATTGGACTAAAGGGAAGCCATTCAAAAAAAAAAAAAAAACAGTTAAGCCAAAATATCACATCAAGGTGAGACCCACGCAATTGCCACATTTGAAACATTTTTCAGTGTACACCTATGCAATCGATAACTGAGGCTATTTTGGGGTTTCTTAATTTAGGGCATTCACTTAAATAACTCAACAAAACTTTCCTTTACTTAATTCAAAAAATGAAAAGCCCCCTTACCGTGAATGATTATTGGTCCATTAGTTTGTGCAATGTGCTTTATAAAATAGACGCCAAGGTCCTAACTAATAGACTCAGTTTGGTGCTGCCAGATTTAATGGCTGACAATCAATGCACTTTCTTGAAGGGTAGACTTATCTCAAATAATATTTTGCTAGCCCATGAGATTCTATAATATATACAGAAAAAGAAGAAGGGGCGTTTATCATGTTTTGGATTGAAGCTAGATATAAATAAAACTTATGACAGAGTTAGTTGGGTTTTTCTTGAGGCGATTATGGTTAAAATGGGGTTTTTCCCTAGATGGATCCAACTAATCTCTCAATGTGTTTCTATTGTGCAATTTGCAGTTTTGATTAATGAAGTCTCATCTGAGTTTTTTATACCTCATGCGGGACTTAGGCAAGGGGACCCTTTGTCACCATATTTATTTCTATTGGTCATGCAAGTATTATCGAAGGGAATTGATCATTTGGCGTCCCTTAATGTATGTTGAGGAATAGCTCTTAGTCAGCACTCTTCTTCGATTTCACACTCGCTTTTTGTAGATAATTGTTTCATTTTCCTAAACTATAAGTCAGATGAAATTTGGTGTCTTCATTGGTTCTTAAATGCATTCTACTATTACTCAGGGTTGCGTATAAACTTTCATAAATCTGAGCTATTTCTAAGCTCAAATTTCTTGCATTCAGCTAGAGAATGGCTTGTATCCTTTTTTGGTGTTAAAATTGTATCAAAAGCTGGGATTTATTTGGGAGCTAACTTGGGGTTTTCAGGGCGCACTGTAGACACCTCATTTTTTACCACCCTTAAAACTTGGGCGCCTCAGATTAATCACTCGATGATGAAAGTTATTATGTACAAACGTTTGATTTCTTCAGTAAGAAGAGCTTCTAAATCATAACCTTACACCCCATTTTTTACCAGAACTATTTTAGACCTTAAAATTCTCTTTTTCAAAATATTTTTCCAAATATTTCTACGATGTTCTGAGGCTCGCATTTCGTTTCAAATATTGCACTTTTCAGTAAATCGAGTAAAGACAAAGTGGAAATAAATGAAAGGAATGTGAACTCTTTGGAAAAAAACTTTAAAAACATCTTACTTATAGGTTTGGAGTTGAAGAAAATAGAAGGGGATGAAAGAAAACTAGTTGGGGAAATAGTTGGGCATCAATCCGTTAGGATAGAAATGAGCAGCTTTCACTAAAATAGGCATACCTCTTTGCACACTTAGAATTTAGATGTGAGGCTACTTCCATTGGAAAGTAGACTTTCGGGGATCCAATTTAGACTCAATAATGACCTAAAACTGAGTTTGGATAAAAGAGATATGCTCGTTTGAAGTTAGGCCTAGAAGTAGATTTTTGTGGCCGGCCACCCATTAATAGTGGCCTGCCGACCACTTGTGTAAAATGCAGATATTTGTTACCAGATGTCCCCCAAAAGGTCCAGCTGTTCCTATACAGATATTTCCGAACTGAGAGACTGTTTTTCTATATATACAAGGTCTTCCCTCATGTTTTTAGGTTACAAAAAATTCTAAAAGTCCAAAAACTTGAAATTCTCTCTCTATCTCTATCTTGCAACACACACACCTTACCAAACACTTCCTAAACTAATATTGGAGCTCACCTTGCTGAGATTATTGAGTCCAAATTTCAGCTCTTGAAAGTGTAAGCTTTATGGTTTGTGAACAAAAGAATTACCTTGCTTCAAGAGGTACAATGTTGAGCATCTCTACACTACTTCTCTCTTATCTTTTCTTGCTATTTTTGAACTGTTTTTGGACTATTTTTATAGGCTAAAACTTGTGGTTTAAAGCTACCAAAGGTGGAGGGGTTAATCACCCTTCTTTGAACCTTGTCTCTTAAGCTTTTGCCCTTGTGTTTCCCATCTCTTCATCAACTTTTTTGAACTTTTTACCACTGATTTTCAGAGGTTTTCAGAGGCTAAAAATCATGTTTTGAAGTCCTAAAAAATGGAGGGGGTAGCCTCCCCTCCTTATGCTTGCTTCCTTGCTTAATTCTTCATGTTTTTAACTTACTCTTTTAGCTATTTTTCCTTTAATTCCAGCATTGTTTTAGTGTAAATTAGGACTATTTTTAAGAGTTAGCTTCATTCATGCTTTGTATAGTATGCTTGTAGTGCAATGGTCCGCACAAGTTTGGTGGTTTAGGCCTTAGCCACCAACCTGTTTTGAGTTGATAGCATTTATTTCAAATTTTTCATATTTGTGTTCATCTCTAATCACCTCTATACTTCCTTCATTTATTGGTTTCTCCCTTGCTTTGAGAGTTGTTTCAACCAATGGATTGTTTAAGCTTGAGACTAAGGTCGTTGTACTTAATGGTTTAATCTCTTCGGAGGTTCATTACTAACGGCATGACATCTCTCTCATACCTAAAACAACCCTTTGTTTGACACTTATTTCCATTAGAGAACTTAATCTTCATTTTTGGACTAAATGAATTAAGGAATGGAAATGTAATTAAAAAAGGTAATAAAAATTGAAATAAAATACACCAAGATAATAAGGTAATTTGGTATTCAATCGGATGTTAATTGAACACATGGAGATTCGAGTTATTTCATACTTATTAGTGATGAAATGGTTCAAGTTTCCAAGGTCAACCACTTCCCTTGATCAAATCATGATAGGGATGAGATTTGCGAGTCTTTCATTATGTATTTATTGAAATTGTCCCTTGATTCATAAGTCATCACGTAATGAATTTGCGCCAATTTATGGCTTGCGAATCAAGTATACCCCTTCTTTGACCTATTTGATGATAAGAAGAAATAGGGTGAACAAACATCCCTTGAGAATGCTCTATTTGTGCTCTGTTGCAGCAAGAAAAAAACCAACATTAGTGGCCGGCAAACCACTTTTACTGGACGGTAACCCCCTATTAGTGGCCTTCCAGCCACTACTTCTGGGTTGCCGGCCACATTTTCCAGGCAGGCAATACCCTTTTTCCAGCAAAGTAGAGCAGAGGCTGAGGTGGAAAAACAGTGAAATTTTTCAACTGTGCAACAGAGGCATTCTGGTAGCAAAACGGAGAGCGTTATCAGGTAGAAATCCACTTCCATGCATGAGCCATCCCTCGATTCTTGGGATCCGTTAAAGTAATGTTGTAATATTAATATGTTGTGTTTGGAGTAGTGGACTTGTAACTAATTAGTTAGAATAGCTAGTTAGTTTAGTTTTGTGTTATAATTATTTAATTAGTTAGAATAGTTAGTTAAATTTTGTTGTTGTAATAATTAGTTAAATAGCTAGTGTAGTTAATTTATTTCTATTTGGTTTGTAATAGTTAGTTAATTCGTAGCAATTAGTTAGGACATTCATTCAGACCCTCTTGTGCGAGGGCCAAACTTGTAAATAATGTGTATGTCTTCCAACCCCACGTCTTTCTCTCTTTTATTTACTTGTTTATAATGGGTAGTTAGAACATCATGTTTCTTTTAGCATTTTCCATGTTTGCATTCACTTGTCTTGCATGCATCGCGGCTCAGTTCATCATTCTAAACAAAACATTGTAGTTTACATACTTTGTTGAATACGTGTTTAAACCGCATACTATCAAGTTATTTCAAATGACATAACTAGTAGCCGAGCTTATTAGTTGCATATCACATTAGTTAGGAACATGCATTTTTCTAATTATTTTGTTTTGTTTGGCTTGCCTTGGAGTACTAGGTGAGCTTTTATTTGCTTTAGTATATTGCATAAGTGTGATTGTTGCCATGTTAAGTATGAATACCATGAGGCTAATTACTTAATCGATACACTTGCTTGAATACCTGTTGTAGCTCGACTTTTCGTGCCCCCTCTCGAAAGACGAATAAGCCCTATAGTATCGGACTCATGCGGTCTGAATCTGATCTCACGAGTGCAATGTGAAATAGATAAATACCAAAGAGTCCAAATCCAACAAATCTTCTGAAAAATCGATTTTGAATCAAATTGCCAAAAATAGACTGCTTTGCCAGATACAGAGTTGCCAGCTAAATATTTTTGAGAAATTTAGAAAACCCATGACTTGTGCCAAAGGCTACATGTCCGTCATCACCAAAATTGTCTCGGCTCGGGAACTTAGGTACGAAAAGGGAAGGTCATGAATTGAGCACCCTAGCTCGCCCGATCAAAGATCGGCCTCTACTAATTATGATGTGATTTTTATCTATAGTATACGCTCTTGTTCCGACTATTAGGCTAACTTACTATGTGATGCGCACACAAGTATAGAGTAATTTGCAAGAATTGGAACACTTGATTCGTGTTTGTTTTGAAAATTGTTTCAAACATGTACCACTTGAAAAAGTGATCGCATATGAACATTACTCAAATTATTCCAATTCAAGCAATTAGTCTTCATCCACACGCATTTCAAGTAATTATAGCACTGAAGCATTTAGCCTCATGGAAAACATGCTAGACATGGCAACAATCACACGCATGCGATATGCTAAAGCGAGTAAAGGCTCACCTAGTACTCCAAACCAACAGAGAAACTAGTTAGAAAAATGCATAATTCCTAGTTAATGCAATATGACTAATGCAACACATGCGATATGCAATTACTACACTTGGCTACTAATATGGCATATGAATCAATTTGATAGCATGCAGTCTAAGCACGTATTCAAAGAAGTATTAAATTAAAAATGTAACTTAGAATGATGCACCGAGCCTCTATACATGCAAGACAAGTGGATGCAAACATAGAGTATGCTAAACAAAACATGATGCTATAAACTAACCATTATAAGCTAGTAAATAAAATAGAGAAAGAAATAAGATTGGAAGACATACATATTATTACAATATTGCGCCCTCACACAAGAGGATTCGAATGAACTAACCAGCTAACTAATTAGAGTAAAGCTAATTAAGCTAATTAACTAATTATTATAAATCAAATGAATAAATTAGCTAAGCTACTTAACTAATTATTACAACAAATTAATTAACTATTCTAGCTAACTAATTATTACAACAAATTGACTAACTAATTAAACTAACTATTTACATGAATACAACATGAAAAGAGTGCAAAGCTATCTATTCTAATTACTCCACCTCGGGAAACAAGGAATGCTCGTGCATGCAAGGACTTTCCACCCGAAAAAGTCATTGTTTCTGTTGCCAAATGCCGCTGTTGCACAGTAGAACACTTGCACTGATTTTCACCCAGAACCAACTCTGTTCTTCTTCAAAAGTACACTGTTGGATTTTGCACTAGTGGCCGACAGATGGCCTGCTGTCTACTGATGATGGCCTGTCGGCCACAGGAGGTGGCCTGCCGGCCACTGATGGATAAATTATCTTGCTGCAACAGAGAGCAAACAGAGTAGGGACAGGGTATTTTCAAGGGTTTGTTTACATAATTTACCCCTCATTATCATTTAAACAGCTCAAGGAGTAATAAAACTTGATTCACAAACCATTAATCTATGCAATTTCATTGCATGATGGCCTATGAACCAAAGTGTGCAAGTTCAATAAATGCAACAAAATAAGACTCTCAAAACCGCCTCCCTATCATGAAAGATCAAGGAAAGTAATTGACAAAGAATCTTGAACCGTTTGCATCAATAATGAGTATGAAACGACTCAAGACTCAAGAGTTCAATTAACGTATGATTGAACTCTAACTAAATTATTATCTTGCACCTTTTTATTCATCAATTTTATTACTCCATTTTAGTTACCTTTCAATTCTTTAATCAATTAAGTTCACAAGTGAATTTAAGTCCTCTAATGGAAAGAGGGCTCAAACCAAGTGTTGCTTTGGGCATGAAAGAGACATCATACCTGTAGAGATCCTAAATTTTGGTAATTACACGTGTAACCATGAGCCTTAGGGTAATAGCATTTTAGCCCCTAGTTTCGTAAAAGTCTGTAAAGTGGCCCAATAAAGGATAATTTTTTCGTATATTATCATAAGTAAATCATAGAACACCACTTTATAATTGGAAGTACCCTAAAACTTGGTTTTTATTTATTTACCTCCTAGTTTATGAATTAATTCATACATTTTATTTTTATTTCTATTTTTGCTTTTGTTGTTCTTTCATTTATTATTTATTTGAATAGAATATTATTATTTATTTGAATATGTACATAGGTGTTATAAATAATATTTTGGTGGAAAATTGGTTGAAAAACAAAATTAAAAAATATCTAGATATTTATGCCTTCCTTAGTCATTAAGATAATTTTCTTAGCCATTGAGGAACAATAATTGAGTAAGGGTAAAATTGTCTTTTTAACCTAAATCCCTTGCCTATAAATTGAGGACATTTTCCACAATTGATTAAGGTTAAAATTGTCTTTTCAACCCAAATCCCTTGCCTACAAATTGAGAACATTTCCCCCATTCCTTACACATATTTTCAGCAGCCAAGGAAAGGGTGAGATGAGGAGATTGTGAACTACAAGGAAGTGAAGAAGAAGAAGGAAGGAAGAAAAGTTGTTTTCTTGAGTCAAGGTAAGAACACATCTCTCCCTTATCTTCTCCAATCCTTCACCCATCTTATCCTATTGTCTAGATGCCCTTTTGTGTTTCATATTAATGGTAGATAGGATTTTTGATTTGTATGAAAGTGTGGGTTTGATATAGTGACTTTGCCTTACAAATTTGTCATATTATGCACTGCTGCAACTTCTCTAATTTAAAAGAAATATCAAATCTATTTATTTCTCAAATCTAAATTTCATGTAGAATATTTGGTGTGTTTAGAGCTTGTGATAATTTTATTAGCCCTTCCTTGTGTGATTTTAGGGCTTGGATATTATGTTTAAAAATCTGGTTCCGAGTCTCTAAAAAATAATCAACTTCTTTCAATTTTATAAAATTTCAGAAAAATCCTCTCATGTTGGTTCTTCTGTCAAAATTTAGAATTCTGAGTCTTCTATCCAATAGAATTTATTTGGGTAAAAATCATCAGGTAGATTGAGAGGAAAGCTAGTTTTCCCAAAGGGTAACAAATCGGGACAGGTTTTCGAATATAGCTTGTAAACGAATTTCTGGAGGTGTTGTGCAAATTCTGAGAATTGGAACTGAAACTAGACAGGTTGATTATCGTTTCTGTGCAATTTCAACCCCTAATTTGACCTGGAAGTATTTTTACCAAAGCATTCTTATTAGCCCTGCAGAACTGAATAGTGCTGGAAATGGTGTTTTATTGTGTTATTTGTCTCCAAGTATTTCAAAGCATGCCTAATGTTGTTTTCTTGCCTTACCATACTTATGTATGATTATCATGGGCTATATTTCCTCTCTTATGTTTGTCTCATGCTCTTTTATATTATCGAATTACAAAATGTGACTAACTTGCTTGGCAAAAGATCTAATAAACGGGAAATGATAAGGGGTTGGTAATGGGTGACGTTCACATTAGTGTTGTAGAATAATTTATACATATGAATGACATGAATTATGATGGGATTAAAACCAAATGAGTTAATTCTTGCGTAAGCGGTCTAAGCGAGCCTCTAGGTTGACACGGATGTATTTAGACTCTATGAGGTGGTTTTAAGGTGTAAGCGAGCCTTTTGGTATGGTATGTGCAGGGTGTAAGCGAGCCCTAGGCACGATCTGGTATGGTATGTGCAGGGTGTAAGTGAGCCCTCAGCATGATTTGCGTGTAAGAGAGCCCACTTGTTTGGCTGTCCCTTTTGAGGTCCATCAATGTCATTGACCGGTAAATAATAGGGAGGTGGGCATAGGTGGCAAGGTCTGCAAAGCAGCAAAAGGGGGAGTTTTGAATAGTCTGATGTTCAATCCTTGTGGTTGGGTAGAAGGATCTCTTTAGGGGATTCTAGATGTCTAGTCTAACTACTAATCCATAGAACTATTGTATGTTATGTTACCTGATTTGTTCTGTGTATGGTTCATTGGTTGATAGAAGATATAGGGGTGTGTGTGTTTTTGCTAGGCATTCCAAGCTCATGGCGTGTCATGCCAAGTGATGAAGTAGTTTACAATGGTGAAGGTTATTTCGAAAGCAAATAAGATGAAGTGTTAGAGCTGTGGTTCATTTGAAGACTTAGGCTAGTTGTTTTTTTTTTTCCTTTTGACTTTTGGTTTGGCAATGTTTTGGTAATCCTATAATGGAACATAAACAAATTATCTGTGATATTAACTCTGGTTATATATGTATAGAGTCACAAAAGTATGATCAGGAGGTGGCATGCATAAAAGCGCAAATAGCATCCGGCGATCCTATACCTGATTGGACGATTCACTCGGATGGAAGTTTGAGATATCAAGGCAACGTGTTTGTGCCATAAGATGAGTCGTGTAGAGAAAAGGTTCTGAAAAAGTTCCATCATTCGGTGTTTGCAGTGCACACAGGAGGGACAAAAGTGTACCAAGACTTAAAACACCAATACTGGTGGAATAGAATAACGAAACTACAGAAAAGGCGAAACTTAATCGACAAAGATTGGTGGAAACTCAAGATCATCAGAAGAGTTATGCAGATAAAGCAGATCTCTAACTTTCATTGTCGGTGATGTTGTCTTGAAAATTCAGCCCTGTCAAGGTCTCATTTGTTTTGAAAAGAAAGGAAAATTATCCCCTCGATATATCGGACCCTTCGAGATACTTCAGAAAATTGGAGAGGTTGCATACAAATTGGCTCTACCCCTGCAATTGGCTGGAGTACATGATGTTTTCCATGTATCTATGTTGAGGAAGTACATAATGCACCCTTCTCACATCATCAACTGGGAAAAAATCCAACTCAACGAAGACACTACCTTTAAGGAGTAGCAATTATGAACAGACAAGAAAAGAACTTGCGAGGAAAGACAATTCAACTTCTTAAGATACTCTGGCATCACCATGGTATTGAAGAGTTCACTTGGAAACGTGAAGACGCGATGTGGGCAAATTATCCACAACTATTTAAAACGTGAGGTATGATTTAATTTCATGGACGAAATTTATTTAAGGGGGATAGGTTGTAGAGATCCTAATTTTTGGGAATTACATGTGTAACCCTGAGACTTAGGTTAATAGCATTTTAGCCCCTAGTTTGGTAAAAGTCTGCGAAGTGGCCCAATAAAGGATAATTTTCCTGTATATTATCGTAAGTAAATCATAGAACACCACTTTATAATTGGAAGGACCCTAAAAATTGATTTTTATTTATTTACCTCCTAGTTTATGAATTAATTCATACATTTTATTTTTACTTCTATTTTTGTTTTTGTTGTTCTTTCATTTATTATTTGTTTGAATATTTATTATTTTGAAGAACAAAATAAAAAAATATCTAGATATTTATGCCTTCCTTAGTCATTAAGATAATTTTCTTAGCCATTAAAGAACAATAATTGAGTAAGGGTAAAATTGTCTTTTCAACCTAAATCTCTTGCCTATAAATTGAGAACATTTTCTACATTTCCTACACATATTTTCAGCAGCCAAGGAAAGGGTGAGAGGAGGAGATTGTGAAATACAAGGAAGTGAAGAAGAAGAAGAATGAAGAAAAGTTATTTTCTTGAGTTAATGTAAGAACACATCTCTCCCTTATCTTCTCCAATCCTTCACCCATCTCATCTTATTGTCTAGATTAGGGGTGTGCATAATACCGCCGAAACCGCCAAAACTGCCAAAACCGCACCGAACCGCACCGCCAAGGCAAATTCGTTATTATTTATCAATCGAACCGCCGGTTTTTGATAAGAAAAATGGCAAATTCTAGTGACACTTTTATCAATCCGCCGGTTTCTATTTTTCTTCCAAACCGTTAAAAGAAATATCAAACCTATTTATTTCTCAAATCTAAATGTAATGTAGGATATTTGGTGTGTTTAGAGCTTGTGATAATTTTATTATCCCCTCCTTGTGTGATTTTAGGGCTTGGATATTGTGTTTAAAAATCTGGTCCTGAGTTTCTGAAAAACAATCCACTTCTTTCAATTTTATAAAATTCCAGAAAAATCATCTCATGTTGGTTCTTTTGTCAAAATTTAGAATTCTGAGTCCTCTTTCCAACAGAATTTATTTGGGTGAAAATCATCCGGTAGATTGAGAGGAAAACTAGTTTTCCCAAAGGGTGACAAATCTGGATAGGTTTTTGAATATAGCTTGTAAACGAACTTCTGGAGGTGCTGTGCAAATTCTGAGAATTGGAACTAAAACTAGACAGGTTGATTATTGTTTCTGTGCAATTTCAGCCCCTAATTTGACCTGGAAGTATTTTTACCAAAGCATTCTTGTTAGCCCTACAGAACTGAACAGTGTTAAAAATGGTGTTTTATTGTGTTATTTGTCTCTAAGTATTTCAAAGCATGCCTAATGTTGTTTGCTTGCCTTACCATACTTATGCATGGTTATCATGGGCTGTATTTCCTCTCTTATGTTTATCTCAGGCTCTTTTATATTACCGAATTACCGAATGTGACTAACTTGCTTGGCAAAAGATCTAATAAACGGGAAATGATAAGTGGTTGGCAATTGGTGACGTTCACATTAATGTTGTAGAATAATTTATACATAAGAATGACATGAATTATGGTGGGATTAAAACCAAATGAGTTCAGTCTTGCGCAAGTGGTCTAAGCGAACCCCTAGGTTGACACGGATGTATTCAGACTTTATGCGGTGGTTTTAGAGTGTAAGCGAGCCCTTTGGTATGGTATGTGCAGGGTGTAAGCGAGCCCTAGGCACAATTTGGGTGTAAGCGAGCCCATTTGTTTAGCCGTCCCTTTTGAGGTCCATCAATGTCACTGACCAGTAAATAACCGGGAGGTGGGCATAGGTGGTAAGGTCTGCAAAGCAACAAAAGGGGGAGTACTGAATAATCCAGTGTTCAATCCTTGTGGTTGGGTAAAAGGATCTCTTTGGGGAATTCTAGATGTCTAGTCTAACTACTAATTCATAGAACCTTGTTGTAATATTGTATGTTATATTACCCAATTTGTTCTATGTATGGTTGATTGGTTGATAGAAGAAATGAGGGTGTGTGTGTTTTTACTAGGCATTCCAAGCTCATGGCGTGTCATGCCAGGTGATGAAGCAGTTTACAATGGTGAAGGTTATTTTGAAGGAAAATAAGATGAAGTGTTGGAGCTGTGGTTCATTTGAAGACTTAGACCAGTAGTTTTTTTTTTCTTTTGACTTTTGGTTTGGCAATGTTTTGGTAACTCTGTAATGGAACATGAACGAATTATCTGTGATATTAACTCTGGTTATATATGTATATTAAGATGTTTTGGTTATCTATCCTACTTGTGTTGCGTTACTGTATGTATTTAATGGCCCAGAAGTTGGGGCATTACAGTTAGGTTATAAAAATATATCCTTAGGTCCTACCAAAATTATCACATACTCTAGACATACCAAATATTACACCATAAAAACAGATTTTGAGTTTATGGAGTTTTGACAGGAAAATAAATTCAAGAGAGGGAAAAGATTTGCTGCTGGAAATTTAAGAAAGAAAGAGAAGTATACCATTTCTTGATTAATACACATTTATACAAGAGTGTAGGCCTAGACTACAACATATATATACAAAGAGCATGTATTAGGAGGGGGAAAACAAGTGGTAAAAGAACTTGAGAGAAGAGGTGATGCATGTTTACTGGGCATTCCAAGCTCATGGCGTTTTATGCCAGGTAAAGATGAGTTTTACACCGAGAACGAAATCCCTAAAAACTTTGAGGAACCATAGCTGCCATAGAGATTAGATTTTATATTTTCTGTATTTTGAATAATCTTTTGGTATCAAGGAACTGATCTGTATTTAAAGACTTGAAGAATTTTATCTGTAACTATTATTAATATTTTCTTTTAGTATAAATATTTGTATTTTGTGCTTAAAAATGATGTGTATCCGCTAGTTAAACCCCGGTGTATCGTTGTATTATATTATCAAAATTTGGGACGTCACAACTTGGTATAAAAATCTGGTCCTGAGTCTCTAAAAAACAGTCCACCTCTTTTAATTTTATAAAATTCTAGAAAAATCATTTCATATTGGTTCTTCTGTCAAAATTTAGACTTTTGAATCCTCTTTTCAACGGAATTTATTTGGGTGAAAATCATCTTGTAGATTGAGAGGAACGCTAGTTTTCCCAAAAGGTGACAAATCTGGATAGGTTTTCGAATATAACTTGTAGATGAATTTCTGGAGGTCCTGTGCAAATTTTGAGAATTGGAATTGAAACTAGACAGGTTAATTATTATTTTTGTGCAATTTCAGCCCCTAATTTGACCTAGAAGTATTTTTACCAAAGCATTCTTGTTTGCCCTGCAGAACTGAATAGTGTTGGAAATGGTGTTTTATTGTGTTATTTGTCTCCAAGTATTTCAAAGCATGCCTAATGTTGTTTGCTTGCCTTACCATACTTATGTATGATTATCATGGGCTATATTTCCTCTCTTATGTTTGTCTCGTGCTCTTTTATACTACTAAATTACAAAATGTGACTAACTTGCTTGGCAAAAGATCTAATAAACGGGAAATGATAAGGGGTTGGCAATGGGTGACGTTTACATTAGTGTTGTAGAATAATTTATACATATGAATGACATGAATTATGATGGGATTAAAACCAAATGAGTTAATTCTTGTGCAAGCGGTCTAAGCGAGCCTCTAGGTTGACACAGATGTATTCAGACTCTATGCGGTGGTTTTAGGGTGTAAGCGAGCCCTTTGGTATGGTATGTGCAGGGTGTAAGCGAGCCCTAGGCACGATCCGGTATGGTATGCGCAGGGTGTAAGCAAGCCCTAGGCACGATCCGGTATGGTATGCGCAGGGTGTAAGCGAGCCCTCGACACGATTTGGGTGTTAGCGAGCCCACTTGTTTGGATGTCCCTTTTGAGGTCCATCAATGTCGCTGACCGGTAAATAACAGGGAGGTGGGCATAGGTGGCAAGGTCTGCGAAGCAGCAAAAGGGGGACTTCTGAATAGTTCGATGTTCAATTCTTGTGGTTGGGTAGAAGGATCTCTTTGGGGGATTCTAGATGTCTAGTCTAACTACTAATTCATAGAACCTTGTTGTAATATGTCATGTTACCTGATTTGTTATGTGTATGGTTGATTGGTTGATAGAAGATATGGGGATATGTGTGTTTTTACTGGGCATACCAAGCTCATGGCGTGTCATGCCAGGTGATGAAGCAGTTTACAATGGTGAAGGTTATTTCGAAAGCAAATAAGATGAAGTGTTGAAGTTGTGGTTCATTTGAAGACTTAGACTAGTAGTTTTTTTTTCTTTTTTTCTTTTTGACTTTTGGTTTGGCAATGTTTTGGTAATCCTGTAATGGAACATAAACGAATTATCTGTGATATTAACTCTGATTATATATGTATATTACAACCCGTTTGTTTTCAGAGGTAGAATGGAAGGGATTTATAGTGAGAGGATTAATAGTGAGGGGATTGTTAGTGAGGGAATTAAATAAAACTGTGTTTGTTTTGATGATAGTTGTTAGTGTAGGAATTGTTAAATTATTTTTATATAAAATAATAAAACAAATAAAAAAATATAAAAAATTTAACATTAATATTTTAAAAAAAATTTCCAATATATAAAAAATAAAAATAATAAAAAAATTTCTAATCCCCTCACTATTTTTCTAATACCATCTCTACCTCCTCCATCTCAATCCCTCTTCCAACTTCCATCTATATCACCTCCTCCATCCTAATCCCCTCTCCAACTCTATAAACAAACACAAGATAACCATACCCCCATCCTAATCCCCTCACATCTATTTAACCCCAAAACAAACGGGGCCTTAAGATGTTTTGGTTATTTATCCTATTTGTGTTACGTTATTGTATATATTTAACAGCCTGGAAGTTGGGTCATTACAATACCATTTGTAATGAACCTCTAAAAGGATTAAACCATTAAGCATTACACCTCAATCTCATGCTTAAACAAACAAATAATTTGAAACCACTTTCAAAGCAAAGAAAAAAAGCCAAGAAAGGAGAGAGGTTGCAGAGGTGATTAAAGGTGAGAACAAGTAAGAAAAGCACTAAATAAATGCAATCAACTCGAATAAGGTGGTGTCTAAAGCCTAAAACACCAAACTTATGAGGACAATTACACTATAAGCATGCAATATAAGGCTCAAATGCAATGAACACTTAAAAACAATCCTAAAACAGTACTAAATAAGTCCTAAAACATGCTGGAATTAAGACAAAAATAGCTAGAATAATAAGCTAAAACATAGATCATGTTAGGCTAGTAAGCAAAACATAAGGAGGGGACGCAAACCCCTCCAATTTTGGACTTCAAACCATGATTTTAGCCACTGAAATAACTCTAAAAGTCAGTGTTTAAAATCTAAAAAAAAAAAAAAGATAGTGTAAAGGTGGGAAACACAAGAGTAAAGGCCTTGAAAGCAAGGTGTAAAAAAGGATGAACCACCCATAAACCCTTATTGGCCTTAAGCCACAAGTTTCAGCCCAAAAATACAAAATTTATATAGTCCAAAAACAATAGGAAAATAGCAGGAAAAAGAGTAAATAAAGCAAGTGGAGAAGCAAAGTTTTATACCTCTTGAAGAGGAGAACCAATTCTAG